CTCTCTCCCCTCCTCCTAGTCTCTCCCCTCTACCTTCTCTTCCCCCCTCCCTCTCTCCCCTCCTCCTAGTCTCTCCCCTCTACCTTCTTTTCCCCCTCCCTCCCTCTCTCCCCTCCTCCTAGTCTCTCCCCTCTACCTTCTCTTTCCCCTCCCCTCAGAAAAGAGCAGACTTTCCAGAGATATCAACCAAATACAACATAGCAAGCTACAATAAGAACAGGCACATTAAAGCTGAATGGGGCAACCCAGTAGGGGGAGAAGGATCCCAAAGCCAGGCAGCCCCTGCTCCACTGAGGAATCCCACAAGAACATCAAGCTATACAACCATAACATATATGCAGAGCCCCTAGGTCAGACCCGTAAAGGCCTCCTGATCTCTGTGAGTTCACTTGAGTCAGTTTATTCTGTGGGCTGTGTTCTTGTGGTGTCGCTGACCCCTCTGTTCCATCCTTCCTCTCCTTACTCTGCCAAACTCCCCAAGCCCCAACTAATATTTGGTTGTAGACTCTGCATCTTCTCCCATCAGTTGCTAGATGAAATCTCTCTTGTCTCTCTGATGATGTTTATGCTAGGCTCCATCCCCAGCACATCCTAAAGGCATGACAGAGGTAGATCAGAGGTTTTGTGGCTGGGTTGGTGTCGCAATCCCTCCCCTTGAGGCCTTGCCTGGTCACAGAGAACAGCTTGTTCGGGTTCAATGTACCTCTTGTAGAGTCCACAGAGTTTCCATTGCACTGGGTTTCTACCTCGCCCCTGAATTGCATCACCAATTCTAGTCATCTCTTCTGGTATTCTCTCCCTCCATGTCCCCATCCCCCCATCATCCGCATCCACCCCCAGCCCACCCCGGAAATCTATTTCCTTTTCCCAAGGAGTCCTCCCTCGGGGACTTAAGCCCTCCTTGTTACTTGGCTTCTCTGGAACTATGGATTAGAGAAAGGTCATCTTTTACTTTACAAGCTAAATCTTCTCATGTGATATGTGTAGAAATCTTCCTCCAGAAAAAGAAAAACCTCTAAGAAAATGCCTTATCTCTTAAATATTTTCATTTCCAAGCTTGTTCTTGAAAGTTCCATTTTAAACAGGCTAACAGCCTCTAATTAGATCTAATTAGTGTTTAGTGTAATGAAAAATCTATCACTGTCAGCAGTAAGAATTCCCAAGTGACAAGTTTACCAGAGACACAGTCCCAGTGAATCAGGCAAGCATACTGCTTGTGTCCTAGGAAACCAATGACTCGGGACAAAATGTCCATCTACTCTGAGCAATAAATACCTTTCCCCCAATTATCAAGTCATTCTCCAATACTTTCGTCCACTGCATCTCGTATTGCAAAGATCTGATGATGGCAGGCTAAACTCATGACCTCACAAACAAGAGAGATTGTAGCTAATGGTACGAGGTAGTACAATAAGCATACTACACTGGGAGAACCTTGACCCAGAAAGCTGGCATCTACCTGGCATGAAATAGTCTTTCTTCCATGTGCAGGATATATTCCTAAAAGTTTCCTGCAGAATGAAAGGACATTGTGCCTGGTGTCGACTTCAGCAGGTGGAGAATGGTCTGAGTGTTGAGGGAATGAAACAGGTTATGAGTTATTTGTTGTCAAAGCTGAGAGATGAAAACATGAAAGCTTTCTCCATTTTTGTATACAGGTTTCCGTTCTACTGTGCATCAGATCTTTTGTCGTGTCAAGTATCTAAGGGAAACTATTTAAAAGTAGAACATTTTCTTTGGGTTCCCGGCTTCGGGGATTTCAGTCCATGACCATCTGGCTCTATCCTTGGGCATTGGGAAAGGCAGACTGTTGTGGTGGTAGAAGTATGGTTGAGCAAAAGCAGTTCGCCTTATGGTTAACAGGAAGCAGAGAGACAAAGAAAAGCCAGGGCAAATCTAGCCCCTGCATGTCAGTTCTCCTCCAGCTAGACCCCCACCTCTTGTTTCCTTCACCTCCCAAAAAAAATTCCAGCTGGCAACCAAGCCTTTAACGCAGAAGCCTACTGAGAACACTTCCTGATCCAGCCATAACATTAAAATGAGAAATAAGCTTGAAATGCAGAGGGAAATAGAAACAGGCAATGAATAGACAGGGAAGTTAAGTTCAATATTCGCGAAAGCACTAGTTTTGCTAGGCAAGCTTCTGAGGAGCTTTCCAGATTGTATGAGGAGAAAGCACACACCTGAATCATCATAACACTGGCTGAATCCAAGGCGAACACTACACGGCAGGCTAATACACATTGAGCTAATCTTACTATCTCTAAGGCACAGTCATTTTAATGCCTTGTGTGCATTAATCTAATTATCCCAACAATCTTAATTACCAGCATGATCCCTAAGCACATAGCTTATGCCATGTGTACAAGGTCACACGGTTAGTAAGTGGTAGGGACAAATAGGTAGAGCTAGAAGGAAGAACAAAAAAGATGGAAGAAAGGGAGAGGTACAGAATGCATTTGAAAAGTGCCCTGGACATATGGTTCAGAAGTCAGAGACAGTGTAGGGAACAGCATCCTAAAAAGGCTTATGAAGGAGAAGAGACTGTGTTGCTGAGAGAAAAAAGAGGACAGACTGTGGTTGGGTGAGAAATGACCCAGGGTCACAGACAAGGGTCCCGATTCCATTATACCCAAAGAATGTTTTCACCCAGAGACACGGTAGCCTTGAGTTCAGCACCTGCCCTTGGCCAGCACAAGATCTGCTATTGTTCTACCAGAGCCTTCTGCCAGCTGCACCATCACAGGGACATGGCACTGCCTCCTTGTGTGACTTTTTCTGGACATGAACATCAAATGTGATGCTGCACACCCATTCAGACTTTATGGTCTCTTAAGCAATGCTCATATCAGCATGCACTAAGCCTTCAATAAAGGTGCCTACTGCTGACCCAGAGGAGCATGCTGCTATTGATTCTAGCCATGCTGCCTGCTGTAGAGGCTAGTTAGAGCCCAGGGGCAATCACTGCACAAGCATCAGCAGTGGCAGCAGCCATCTATCCCAAGATCCCA